GAGCAATACCGCTAGCCATGATAACCATGAGAAAATCAACTCATGGGTTTCCTTTTCTTTCCTATATGAGTATGGGGCTCTGCTTGGCGGCCCTTTGGGTGGTCGGAGCTCCGCTATAAAAGAATTACATTTTTAAGACAACATTCACTATACATTAAACCTAGGCCTGCTTTCAAGATAAGTCTGTTGTTTCATGTAAAAGCCTGACATGACACACATTTCAACTATTTATCAATCATTGGTGTCAAACATGAAAAACTACACTGCCTGTCAAACATGGACACACAAAAGGATACATTACAGTTTTACATGCCATTTCTGTTTGTAAAATATATACTTTACCACAATTTATAATTCTACAAGCTCATCCTTAGCAGTGCAAGTTTCACTGCACTGTGTTAATGCAGAGGTCAGTGGCATTTGATCATATAACACTAAGTTCATTCATTTTTCCAAGTCAAATCTGAGTCCAAGTCACAAAGCCAATTTATAATTGATTGTTCTAACTTCTTCTTGTGGTCTCCCATATGGTGGATGGTGGGTAGGAGACAGTAAGCAACTAAAGACCAACATTTCTCTGAGCTTACTGCACCTTTCAATAACATGCAGACTTTCAAATTCAAAGCTCATTTTACCAACAAATGCGTTTTTCACTACCGTCAATCAAATGTTCGGTGGCTCCTCCCAACTTCCAACTATGTTGTCTAAACTGCACTCAACGATTTGATTTGATTTGATTTCTGCATGCTCAGCAGTAGCTGGAAGCTGGGAGGAGCCACCTAACATTTGATTGACGGTAACGAAAAACGCATTTGTCGGTTGAGCTTTGAATTTTAGAGACCGCATGTAATTGATAGGTGCAGTAAAAGCACTTTGGCAGACCAAATAGCACAACCTGGTCAACCTTAATAGCTCAGTTGTTTCTCAAAAAGCTCTGGCTAGCTTGAACGGTATTCTGGTTAGCCTAAATAGCTCCATCCCAAGACAGACGAATGCTTAACTTGACCTGACCTGACTTGGCCACTTAACTCGGACCTGGACTTCATTCAGGCTCAGATTTCACTCCACCAACTGACTGACTCAGTACAAACACAGCAAATTGCAGTGGAATCTTGATCTAGTGAACTTCTATCTAACGAAGTCCTCGATCGGTATGACAAACAATATTCTTTACCCTAGTAATGTATGGAAGAGAACCCTGATAAAACTAAACTTCATTATAGCAAACATACTTTGCCAGTACCTCAGCCTTTCGTTATACCGGTGGGAAGGTTTCCCATATGAAAAGGGCGGTGATACTTGTAATTTTGCTTAAATCAAGGATTCTGGTCTCACTTATAGCATTCAGGACAAAACACAACTATTTTTTGCTGCCATAGTACCTTTTAGGGTGCACTCAAAGAAATAATAATAATGAAAAAATGCTCTTATTTCTGTTTTTAAGCTTGGTCTCCCAACAGGCCCTCAAGTTCGGTCTACTAACACAGGTTCCCTTTCTAAACAACAGCTAATAACCGAGCCTAATTCCATTTCAAGTGGTATCTTTTAGCAGTCAAATAAGGTTTGAGAAATGCCCAGATTGGTCTCTTAAGGGGTTTAATTCAAATTTCCTGATGAGCATCCCCGGCTTTTTCATATGTGAGTTCCCCTACCAGATTCATTATATCAAGGTACCACTGTACTTGCTAATGATTATGTCCTTGTATAATACTGCTAATCGATCGTGATTGATTCACGAGATCACGTGTGTCCAATTACAGGTATCCAATTTGAATTCTTCGTAATTGGATACCTGTAATTGGATACCCACATGATTTGCACGTCAATTACGTACGCTTTATTGGCTTCCTTCGTAATGTTTTGTACAGTTTTCAAAACTTATGAAAAGCGCTACAGACGATTTTGTTTAAAAGAAGTTCCAATTAGTTAGTAATTGGACCTCATGTCTTTCAATTCAGGGAGTAATCGTGCTTGTAATTTCAAATTGGCCTCACGCTCAACCAATTTTGAAATTACTCGTGCAATTAGTCCTTGAATTGTACTCCACTTGGTCCAGTTACTATTACAAATTATACAAAACAACAAGGTATACAGCTGTCCAATCAAGAAGTCACACATTGTGAAAACCACTACATATACACCCATAATATATGACTGGCCATTTACCCCACTGTCATGAACCAAAAGAATTCAGCTAAGGATCCTGGTGAGAACAGAAAGCAATATTTTGAGGAACCAGAAGCAAATCACGGTCACGGCAAGAAAGGTTTGAAAAGTTAGAGTTCTCTGGTTGTCCGCAAATATAGCTTGGCATTGCTTGAAAAATCTCCAAATTGAAAAAGATCTTGATGCCTGGAGACGAATGGTTTCAGGTAGCGGTGACAAGGTGTAATATTCCAATGTTTACATTCTTGTATTAAATTAGGTTGAATAGGCATGAAATGATATACTTTGTATATGGCGCGCGCCGTCTCTGCACATAAACAAGCAAAACTTCATGTCACAACTATTTGCTCTATTTGCGACCATTACTCCATTTTGCCTTCATTTTTCCTCAGATCATCGATAGGAGCCTTTCCTTGGAAAGCGTTTGGATGACGAAACGAGCCACCGATACGATCCCACAAAGTGAAATATTGTCCATAGTTACAGTTGTAGAGTAAATGATGATCGGTATGGTGAGCGGATCCGTTGATAACGGGTCGCAGCATCTCGGGAACTCTGTAGTCTCCATCGTGAATCGACACCGTCCAAATATTGACGAAAACGAAAAGCGTCAGGTAAACATATTTGTTCAAAGGGAATAAGAAGGGGAACAAGTGATACGGCAGGCTCTGAAGAAAACCATCTACAGGATGAAATGCGTGACTTGCAAATGGAGTTGGCACTTTCCATCGGTGATGAACCTTGTGCAAATACTGGTACACAGAGCGATGGTGCAATCCGCGATGGATCCAGTAAATTAATGAGTCGGTGAATACAAGAAAGCTAATAACACTGAAGAAGATGTCCCCGAGAAAATGTGGCCAGGCGAAGTCTGATGGAAGATACAGTCGGCTGTACCCGCGTACCTCTAAAAGGAAGAGCAAAGCTGTGGGAAAGCTCATGAATGGAGTAGATTTCAAGGTCACCATTATTTCTTTTTGAATCTGGTTCTCTAGAATCAGCGGGTGCTGCATAAGCATGCGATCGAACACGAAGAGGAAGCTGAAAGATGCGAGGCAAAAATACAAGATCACGCCTCCGAAGTTTGCCACGAGAAACAATGAAACAAATTGCCTGAGTAAATCATTTTCAGGCCACGTGGTAGGATAAATGTACGGTGTAAATAGATAATGATCGAGAAAGTCGAGAACGAGATCCATTTTAAGTTAATTCTCCCAAATCTTTCGAGAGATTTGTAACCAGACAGGCGTTTGCATGCAAGCTCTGCATGCAAGCTCTCGAGCTGAGCATTCAACCTTGAACAAGGCGAAATGTGATTGGATAACTTTCCGGCCATACCATTTAAGCCAATCAAAATAGCCGTTACACTTGAAAGGACAAAGTTTATATCTTTCGTGACAAGCAAGCGTGTGGTAAGGTAACAATGTAACTGTGCGTGCTGCGAATAAATATTTGAAGGATAATAAACACAACAGCCTCCAGTTAGCGCGAAAATATGCTCGGATATTTGTCCTTGGAAATCGTCTGTTCCTCAAAATTCGTTTCTCGGAACAGAGCCCTGATGTCCACGAACCCCAGGTGAGGGCAGCAGGGGGAGGGTGGTTAATCCCTTAAATGGGCTATATGTAGGTGGTTTTTAGCCGTTTTGGTCAGAAATAGGGCATAGTTTTTGCATTCTAGTCTTGAATTCGGTATGTTTTTTAGAATAAGTTACGTTTTACAATGTACTCATTATCCCATCAACAAAAACCCTTCACAATGCAACTGAACCAGGTGACTTAGGGCCTGTTTACAAGGAGAGAGAGTTACCCTAGCAAGCAGGTTAGCCTAGTACTCACACATTTCCTCTTTTTTTCTTCTTCATGTTTACAAGGCAGCTGGGGTTACCCGGGTAGGTGGGTAGGCGGTTTACCCTATCTGCATGCAAGGGTTACCCTGGCAGGTGGGTTAACTTTTTCCCTTGTTAACACTCCGGCTAGGGTTAACCCGCCTACATGGGTTAACTTTCTATTATTGTTTCCAGACTCTTTGATTGTAACCGCACATCAGGTTGTCCCGGGTTGTAGGGTTACCCTACCTGTGAAATTTTGCCTGTAAACTTTAGCCTGCGTAGCAAGCGTTTCCGTGGGGTTTGGGAGTAAAGAAAGAACACCGAAAATCCCATTCCTCAATCTTTCTTTACTCCCAAACCCCATGGAAACGCTTGCTACGCGGGCTATGTAAACCTGGGCTATTTTTTGCCCTCCAGCTAGGGTTAACCTGCTTACTAGGGTAACCCTCCCTCCTTGTAAACAGGCTCTAATTATTATAGGACTGGTCTGAAAGACAGTATTCATTTAAGGGTCGGGTCAAAAACCCCTCTGACAATAATGCACTTCCCCTCCCTCACTGCAAAGTTACCCCCCAACATGAACTTTACCAGTATCCATTTCAGCATCTGGGCCAAGTTTGTTCAAAAGAGGGTTAATCCAAGACATGGTGTAGCTTTTCCAAGAACTGGATTGTGTAGTTCCAGGAAATATCTTTACCTCTCCCACAGAAGGGATTTTTTGTAAGAACCCTCACCCTCTGAAAATTTCAATTAAGCTTCATAGATCTTTTTACCTTTTCTTTGGTGTTACAGAATCCCCAACCCACAGGAAATTCCAATCCCTTGATGATGATGTGGTGGGGGGGGGGGGGGGGGGGNAAAAAATTTAAAGAAATGTATGAAGCTTAATTGGAATTTCCAGAGGGGTGGGGAGGTGTTACAAAAAAAATCCCTTCTGTGGGAAAGGTATGGATATTTTCTGAAACTACACAATGACCTTCCTCCCTTGGTTTAACAGTTGATGTGATGCCTAATCACCTTTACCAACTTAAAAAAGATGATGATCAACTCAACCTTCAGTTAAAATTGATCTGCACACTAGTTCTGCTGTTCAAAGGTAGCCTCAGGGTAAACAGCAGGTTAAATTGAACCCACCTTGCAACAAGTACAAGGCTGCTTTTCAGCATTCAGTGCAGGCAAGAGTTAGAAAGACTTTAAAAATGTTACCTTCCATGAAATTTGGCCATATTTATTTTAATGGTTTCACAGACAAAAAACTACAACGGAAGTATGACAGTTGTAATTTTCCCTACCAAACTTTGTTTTGTTTTTTATCTCTGAATAACCATTAGTTACCTTTTTCTGGAGAATATACAACTTCTCTATAAATCTACTTTCTCAGAAAACCCTGATAATTTTCATACATTAAAGTTGTGCTTTCTTGTGTACTTGCATGGTGAATTGACTTCTAGGGGAGCCATTTTGGTGTAGTACTGGTAAAAGGTAAGCCATTTCAACATATTTCCACTGTTAAAATCCACTGCAAATACATTTGAGAAAAAAATTTCTTCCAATGAAATAAGCAACAACTCCCTACCCCACCCCCACCTAAAAAAGCAATCATTATATAAGCCTACCAAACAATGCTTTTGAAGAGATACAAGCCCAGGGGTTATTATCAGAATGTTATGACATAAACCACATTCTACTGGTTTTCCTCTGGAGTTGAAACCTAGGACAATCACAGAAATACTTCTCCCCTTGGGAGAAGACGGTGAAAAGTATATTGAACCTGGGCCAATCACAGAAATAGTTCTCTCCTCAGACAAAGCCAGTGAAAGGTAGAGTGCAATAGTTGAATCCAGGGTTCCTGGACTCAAGAGACTCATCATATGGGACCCTGATTTCTAAAAATCATGACTGTAATTCCTCGCCACATCCTGTTTAATTCTTGTTTTTATCATGACAATACCTCAAGACCAACAATTGTTGTAAAAGACCTATTACTATTTTTTTTTTAAGAATGCAACTAAAATAAGCACAATGCACAGGGAGGAAAACAGATAAGGACAGATTTAGACATTTCACATTTTCATAAGCCATGAAATTTCACTCCACTGTAAAGACAGGAATTGCAATTAATACTTAACAGATATCTTGGAAAAACACCTTTATTTAACATAACATTATATATACATAAACTTACTTACACTGCAACCTAATTGCTTGAAACATTTACATGATGGGTTGAAATAATGTAAGACTTTTAAAGGATTCACTGAAGTAACAAACTGCTATCTATATCCCAAGCGCTTCTTTTCTTTCGCTTTTTTCTTGACAACTTCTATATTACGATCTTTCCAAGTGCTTTTCCTTAGTTTGATTGGTCGATTACCAATATATTTTCCTGAAAAAGAGAAAAATAAATATTTTTTTGTGACACCAATCAAATAAGATAGAAGGAAAAGGAGAAATATGTTTTACTACTGGATGACTGGAAAATTGAATAGAATAGTCATTCAATACTTATTTAGCAAATACTATTCCACTTTTAGATTATCTAACCTATAAAGTTCACAGGACAAGCAAAATAGGAGACATGGTTTATGGGAGCTTAATTTCTCATTCCATAGTTTAACAGATCTGTAACAACTTGTTGATACACCACTTATTTCTTACATGCTCATTTCCCACATTTCTTTACCTGCCCCCAAGGGGTTCAGAAAACTACAACAAAACTCATAAAACATCTGCCCATATTATCTGAAAACTATGGACTACATGTAAGGTGTATTTAATTTTTTATAAGTAAGAAAACCAAACAGAAATATGTACTAAATAAAAATCACATAATCTATTCAAGTGTTGAAGTGTTTGGCACTGCTGTACTAATAGACCATATCCGTATTCCTGGCATTGAACTGGATCTAGCTTACAACTGAGTCTAATATGGGGAGTCTTGTCAACTGTTCACGACAGTGATCTCTTTTGATGACATTCCCCTGCATGAGCCTCTATTGCAAGCTACAATCCTAGCCAAACGTCCTTGGGACTCTAGGTCCAATACCAAGGACACAAAATTAATATGGCCTGTTGGGGACATATTGTACTACACTTTTGACAATGAATGGTTTACAGTCTCACCTTTACATCTTCTGAATCTTTCCTCACAACACTGTTTCATATAAATTAATAACAACAACAACTATGTATTGTTGCAATAACATTACTTATAATCCATCAAATATTTCTGCTCGCACGCGATAGGTCTAAATGCATGGCGTGACTGAATATTCCCCAACAAAAACTGGGGAATACCCGAGTGATATTCCCTGATTTTCAAAACCGTACATGTTGTGAAAAATATTTGAAGGACAATAAACACAATAGCCTCCATTTCGTGCAAAAATATGCTTGTGTATTTGCCCTTTGACATTATCTGTTCCTCAAAGCTCACAGTTTTCCTTAGCTTTGCTCTCAGAAAACTGTTTGCTTCTCAGAACAGATAATGTCTGCGGACAAACATTCGAGCATATTTCCAAGTCAAATGGAGGCTATTATTTTATATAGTCTTTAACATAAACTTCACAGAGGCACTGCTTACCATTCATTTCTCTCATAGCTTTGACAAAGTCATTGGGATCCTTAAAACTAAGAAACCCATATCCTTTGCTCTTGTTTGTTTTTTTGTCGCGAACAACTTTAGCCTTCAGTAAAGATGGATATTTTGAGAATGTTCTACTTAAAATCTCATCAGTCACTTCGTTGCCAAGATCACCACAAAACACTCGAAAGTCATCTGAAAAAGAAAAAACAAAACAAAGAGCAAGGTCATATAACATACCAATGTTGTTGTATTTACAGATCACGTTTCTCCTATAAAACCAGGGCTGTGCTCTAGAAGTGCCTAACATTTGCCTTTGGGCAACTAGAAAAATGTACTTTTTCACGTAAGCGTAAGTGCTGGGCATCCAGGATTTCATGGTTAGGAACATATATTTGGGCTCCTCAATATCTTTTTTAGACCACAGCCTTGAAAACCCTCTGGCTAAAAAACAATCAGTCTACAGGTGTAAGCTGCAGCTCATTCAATGTTGTGGCTAAAACGTCCTCTGTTGTTTTCTAGCCAGGAAGGTTATCATGGAGAAAGTCATTTAACAATCTGTTCTTGGACAAGAAGCTTTCT